CCCCAATGCGAGAATCGCCTCTATCAGCTCTGGCTTTCTTTGAGAGTCCGACACCTCCAGATTCAACTCCCTTGCAAGTAGCAACAACATGGACTTTCGCAGGGATTTCAGATTCACGGCTGCCTCCAGTACCGCTGTCTCTGTTCCACAAAGATTCCTGTCCTGCAACTAATTAACCTTGACGGCAACGACAGCTCTAGATTCCTGCCTTGCCTCAAGTTTTCCGTTAACTTAGTCTACGAATAAAGCTTCAAAAAGCTCTTACACGGAATCCTGCCCTGTCACTGTTAACCTTGACGCCACTGACAGAAAGAGCTTAACCAAGCTATCACACAATTTCTGCCTGACGCAAGTTACCTGTTAACCCAATGACCAAGACAGCCTCTCTCTACCAGCTTTTACTTAACACATAGAGTAAATGCCTGGTAAAATTTAACAGAGAAAGCCGGCACTCACCCAGTTTGCAGTCATGTCTCCGGCGTCGTGCCTCTCAGAAGTGCCGTTCGATTCCCTCTGGAAGTCGATGAGCTCGTGTCATCCTTCTCCGGTCGTCCCGTTGTTGGACTTCGGGCTCGCTCCATCCAGTGGTCGCTTTCGGGGTTATCGGCATCCCACCGCTGCCATCCAGTTGTTGGGACTCCGGGTCCTGCCGGTCTCGTTTTCGGTAGCTGGCCCCGTAGCAGGATCCATCGTCCGACAATTCAGTGAGAAGAAGCGCCCGAACGAACGACAGAGATTTATTTACATGTTGAGAAGTGATCAACTGATCCAAAGAGAGAAGAGCTGTGCGTAACACAAGACTTCGTTCTTCCTTCATCATACTCACGTGATGTAACTTGCCAAGTGTACCACCAGCCAAACCTTTCCAATGACTATTAAAGACGCTATCTTTGAAGAACCAAGCGTGGGGCGAGTTGGAGTTCCATTGTGGATGACATTTCGCGCAAAATTTCATCCATGATGCTATCTTTCTCTACCATTTTGTACTAGATGTTATGAAATTTTCCGTGGGAAAAAGTGTACGATGGGTAATTCAAGACACGTGTTTGCTTCAATTAAGGCTGTAAGCGGAATAGCACCCACTGACAAGACGGGTTATCTGCCACGCCGGTCTTCTTGAAGGATGGCCTGTCATATAAGGTGCTCCCGATAAATGACAAATCCTTGTAAGTTCCATTTTAGAAATTTTAATTCCGTAGATCCTCATGCGTAAATTAACCTATATATTGCTAACGCGAACATTGTGCAACGGGAAGTAAAACGCAGTGTTCTATGTTTCACTGATCACATATATACTGAAGATAGCACACATTAATTTGCCGAAGTGTAGCAGAGTAGACTTGTGCGAATTTGTGGCATCTCGTATCACTCATTGGACGCGTATATCAGACACGAAGCTGCTAATCGAGATGTAGCCTTTGTATTGGTTGTTACTATCAGGAAATGAAAGCCAAAGGAAATGTGCCAGCATTATTGTCAAAACAACCACAGTTGCAACACCCATGAACATGGTCGCTGGTGAATTATTAAGCTCGAAGTAATCAGGCTACAAAAAGTAGACAAAACGGTACCCCATAGTTTCTTCAGTAAAATTACTGTATGCCTTCATTAGCAAATACGATGCTTTGTGGTATCTCCAAGCAAACGCGATATGCTATCATATGTTTGCCACCGTGTACTGTACTTCTCTGTGCTTAATATTTCTTCTTTAATTGTGGCGATACATCGGTATCATTACGTATAGGCACTTACATAAGGTACACAACAGCTTATTCAGATTTGCACGTTTTGCCAGTCACCCTATATGTTTATACAAAAAAAAAACTAAAGCCCCATGCCAGCGTACAGGCCTAAAAAAACTACCGTCAATGGCATCCGAGAACACGGTCCTTGATGAAAAAAACATGTTCAACAAAATGCAAAGTTTGAAATGCGCAGGCAAAACAGGCATGGATACCATAACAGAAGGAAAGAAACAATAAGAAACACCAGCTACGGCTGCGTCATATCTTGTTCAACGAACATTGATATATGACTCCGCGGGCACAGGCTGCTGCATTAGGAAGCGAACAGGACATGCTATCATATGTATATGCTAAGTTGTTTTGTACTTGTCCTCAGTTTTTTTTTTTCTGTTTTCTTATTCGTTCGAAGCTCTGAAACTTCATCGTATTGCGCAAGCGTGCATTATCCGCTGCAGTGAACACACAGGAGAGGCTTAGCAATAGTGTTATACTCGGTGACCTACTTTTTACTCATAATAAAAAAACGATTAAACATGGATATCGCAATGGAACATTTCACCAACCATCGCTAAGACATAAAATTGAGTATATGTTATCTAATGTGAACTTTGAAGCAGTCTATCTTTTCATCCCTCAATCCCCTTCTCCTGGTGTAGGATAGCAAACCGGGTGCTCGCCTGGTTGACCTTCCAGCTTTTCCTTACATGCAGTAGCCGATATCAGTGATGACGCGTGCGATTCATTTGTCAAATATTGTATCAGCTCTCCCCGGGTAATTTCGTCTCCCTCTATCTTACAGTTTAATGTGTTGTTTTCATATTTGAAATATACAGATTTCACCGGTAAAAAATAGGGGGGGGGGGGGGGTACATGAGACACTGTTAGGTCAAAACACGCTTCAGTTCAGAGTCATATAGGTTGACGAAAATTGTGGAGCTCACCCAGACTAACTCATGGAATATATTCGGAGCTTAGAGCTCCCTCGAACTCAGGCACACCAAATGTTTTTCTCAGCTAGACTGATTCGGGCTCACACTCACGACAACTATCTTCAACTGGACACACTCAGACTTGATCTAAGTCTGAGTGAGTCGACTTATGAGTGAGTGCACCGACATAAGATCAGAGCTACTGCCTCGCACTCGTGTTAAGAGCAAACGCGTATAATTCGGACACCAGCTGGTCGCTGCGGCCAGCACAAGTGCTGTAAGTTTCGTAGCGTCGCTGCTGATGGCGAGCGAACGGTGTCAGTAAGCATGCACTTAGGACAGACCGCGTGCTTGCGCGGTTCTTAGATCCCCTTACCCGGCATGCACCCGGCAAAGATGGCTGCTTCTTGTACACGTGGCGAAAGTAGTGTTCTGTACGCACCGTACACACACGTCTGCCAAGGCTTTAGTATACACGTGATCACATGCGCAGCGTAGGCACAAAGAGTGGTCAAGACACCATTATGGTCACACAAGAAGCGCATTTATACAGATACGGAACGCGTCGTGTAATGGCGCGCCAATGAAACTGCCCCAGCACATCTTGCAGTGAAATCTGTAGGCGAAACGAAATACCAATCGCCACGATAATGGCTGCGCCTTCAGTTACGTCGTTCTGTACATCGCACCAAAACGTGCGCGTCATTGGCAGGGCCGTTAGTGACGCCATTCTCGGCGTCGTACCCAAGCACGCGTGGCATTGACTGCCACCCTCAGGGCGTCTTTCATCCCTTCACAGCCGTGCCACTGCTTCCTTGCACAGCAGTTTCAACTAGAACTCTCTCGTGGAAGGAGGGCATGGATCGTATTGGAACTCCCGAACAGTAAACAATAGTCCAAGAACAGCACTGACATTTGATCCATTAGAGAATTCATGTTCGCCGGCCGATGTCCAGGCCCAAAAAACAGGTGCCATTGGCAAAGCCCAAGCAGCAATTGCGCACCGAGGGTTCAGCAGCCTTCCGAAAAGAATGCAAGCGACAAAGGTTAGCCGAGGAGGCGGCGTTGCTGGTAAAGGAGCGATCACGTGGCAATACTGGGAACCCGTTTGACGAAGCGTACGCCCACTTTCAGCGGGAGTTTTTTGAGAAGCCTTTGGCTTCGGCTGCGACGTCTGCAACCATCTGTGGACACACGTTTCAGCTTCGCCTGTTAGCTATCCTGTGCGGAAGTGTTTGAATGGTTTTCCGTCCTTGATATTTCGAAGTGCTTTTGACAAGCTTTAAGAACATATTGAAACTGTATGGGTAAATGGCAAGAGATACAAATGAAATGCAAGAGCAGAATAGTTTGGTAGGTACTTGCTTTCGATTCACTACCCTGAACAAGATTGTACAATAGGCAGGTGAAAAAAAAGCTATTAGAATGTCGGAAAACAAAGATACACTGCTCTTTCGATGGTCGTGTGATCGAATTACGGCCGCATTTCTGTTGAAGGGAAAACACTCGAGGTTCGTATATAGGTGCAGGTTACAGACGGGCTCGATATTTCCGGAGCACTCCACTATGGCGTTTCTGTAAACGTATCCTGGTTTGAGACGGTCACCTCCGCAATTATTGTTAGTATCAACACGGTTACATAAGTGCCTTTGATCTGCCCCCCCTGCCCTTGATCCTAATGGTGCAATTGATGGTGGCGTTCCACAAAAATAAAACAAATGCTGAGGTGCGACTAATTTTTTTTTGTCACCATTGCCTACCCGCAAAAGCTCGGTTGAAGCCATTGAATGCCATAAATGCAGGTGGTCATTTTTTTCTCTCTCTCTCCTCTTACGTCGACATGGATGGCTTCACCAAAATAGCTGCACTCGGAGATCGCGTAACATTATTCCCTTAGACTACCAGTGTTGACACGCATAGGTAGGGGCCAAGAGTCTAACAAGAGAGGGCGAGAGGGGCAAAAGAAAGATGCAGGCCCAAGCACATGTTTCAGTTGTTGCCCTACGCTTGGAAAAGGAGAAAAAGCGTAACAGTGAATGTAATAGAGTAAAAAAATAATAAAGGGACACTTAATGCGAACACGCATTCATTTTACACCAACAATAGGCTTCCGAAAATAAAGTTCGCCACCCCAATAAAAAGTACACTTTCTGAAGATAAAAATTCTGAGACTCTTTACGCGTGTATACGCTTACACACACGAGGTCCTAAAACCAACAATGCGCATCCAAAACTTAAGTGGACTTCACGAGCACAACCACAATTGTTACCGCGTCGTGCCGCAAGAGATTATGCAATACAGAAGGCCAAGGTGTGAATCACGTACCATTCGGTCCGAAGCCGAGTCAACAATGCAGTGCAGATACATTGTCTGTCCTAACTGCGTAGTGACGTTTCGAACGTTGGGACTCCGTAGGAGGTGGTCGTACTCAGCAGGGCTCAGACCACGGGCCATGCTTCCTCCTGGAAGGAGCAGGAGTCGACCCGGACCTCGAGCGCCGTGGGAGATCGGCTGCTGGCCGGTGGGCAAGCTGTTTCTGCCTCGGCCACCACCATCTACGGAAATAAATAAACGCAGCAGCGGTAAGAAGAAGGTCGCAGGCGCGGAAGAAAAGCCCCTGCAGTCTTTCGCTGTTCATGCACCCAGCGTATTAGCTTTCAGACTAAGTTTTTGCAGGTCTGCAGGAGTGTACCCAACTGCGTTGGTCGGTACACCAATAAGACCGAACAAAGAACGGGACAGCGAAAGAACGACGGACAGGGCGGTGATGTATGTCGTTATATCACCGTCCCGTCTGTTTTATCAGCACCCCGTCTGTCGTTCTACCAACATCCCGTGTCAAGCGCTTTTTGTTATAGTTGGAATGACGTATGGAAGTATAGGCCTCGAAACGAGCGTCGTAGGCGCGCTTTTTTTTTTTTGTGGAAACGCCCGGATAGTTGTCATTTCCTGCTTTCATGCTCTCACGCATGTCTGCATGCGAAAACACTGGCGCTGTTCAAGAAGCTGTAAAATCTTTTACGCGTCTGCACGCCACTTTCCAAAAGCCTTACTGGTCTAAAAATGTAGAAGCGTAGTATGCTAGTTCACTCGTTATTGCCGGTGTCGCGAATTCGCAACACACCGAAAAAACGCCGACTAAGCAAGTCATAAAACGCGTGCTCTCCTCAATGCCGTCTGGTACGTATCGCGGATAACGTAGCATTCAGTCCGTGACATTTGTCTGATGTAAGTGTTCAAAGAAAAACCCAAGTTGTGTAACTGATAAGGGAGAGCTCGAAGCACGTGCAACAGTTTCATATCTCTGTTCTTTTTCTCCAGAGTGACTCAATTTCAATCTTCTATGAATCATTTTGGGTGCGCACACATCCAAGAAGTTTCACACTACATGTGACGTTCATTTCAAGTACATTTTCGTTCTCTCTTCTTCGAGCATCCGCCTGTTTACCAACTATTAGCGGCATTGGGTACTTGAAACGGCCGACCTCATCTGCAGCGCCCACCAATGTTGCTCAAGGTTGAGCGTTCATGCCTGTGCGATTGTCAATTGAAAAGCAATTATCGCGCATGTCTGGGGCACCATAACAACACTTATATATTCTGCATGTGCGTCTTTTAGTAGAAAATGCATACATAAGTAATTTTAAGGACCATAGCGCTTATCATGCTGCGCTAACCATGCAACGCTTGCACGGAAAGGATAGTGTTCCAACGCTTTGCTAAGATGAGATGGTGGTGGCACCTATCCGTCGCCTTGCGTTCTACGCTTTATCACCTCTGAGAAGGGTGCGCACACCCGTCTGAGAGCCACACGCTTTGTTTTCTAAGGAAACTGCGAGATGGCGCTCATGTCTCACGTGTGACGTGACTTGATGCGCTCGGAATACTATATTCACCGATTTTCTTGCGAAGAACATCAAATAAATATCTTGTTCACTTTCAGTTTGACGTTCATTTCAAGTACATGTTTGTTTGCTTCTTCTTCGGAGCATCCAGCCTTGAATTTAGTCGGTGGTGACTGCCGCTATGATAAGTTCGCTTTTTGCTTATTGGCATATTATAGACGCACACTAATTTTACGGGACAATAGGGCTTCACGCGCACTTTCGGCAGGCAGATAAATGTGATGATCGCTGCCTTAGTGGCAGCAAAGGCGACGATAGTGATCCTGATCCTCATGGACAAGCACAAGTGTCTTCATCAAGCAGCGACTTTGAAGACAAAAATGCGGTATATTAAACAAGTGCACTCTCTAAAACATACACCGTGATGGAAAATAAGTACACACACTATTAAGAACAGTGGGAAATGTGTCACGGGAAACCTACTCACTGTGACACTGTCCGAGGTCCTATTAAATATCTCAATGAATCTTTTATGAACACTTCTTGGATCACCTTGTTGAGCAGAGAAATCTTTTTGCGACGCAGACGAATCCTAACAAAGAAGCTCACCCTGGCTCGGCACGAGCTAAATGAATTGCTGAGCGCCATCACATTCAAGTGACTCCATCGACTTCCAAGAAGTCGGCTAATACTGGGCGGCGGAATCTAGGGCACCCATGGTAACAGTCAAGATGTCACGTGATCGCTGCTGAAACATTCAAGTCAGACGTTCATTTCATTGGCGACAAGTCGTCGCCCGACGATCCCCACAAGGATCGTCGTTTTCGAAGTTCACCTTTGAACAAATACTCATATTCAGCCACATATTGGCCTAAGTGCCGATTGTCGCGAATTCGTGAAATACCTAAATGTATGCATTAAAGTTGCATTTTATGTAATTTGACTGCAGAATAAAGAAAGGTTACTATTCAAGGCTCAAAAATGAAAAACAACTTTTTTCCATGGGCAGTTTTATAATTCTTTAGAATTTGGGAGTCTGAACTCACAACTGATCAGCCCAAAGAGCTTAAAAATTCCGGCTGCAGTCTTCGGAGGCAACGGAATTGAGCGACCTTCTGCTTGGTGCACCATGCATGCGTGTTGTAAAAAGTACGTGATGGTGGCCTTTCTTTTTATTTCTCTCGCTCTCAGTCTACCCTCTTATTCCCCGCCCCATGAGTAAAGTGTCAAACGGTACATAGTCCAGTTAAACTCCTTGACTGCTCTATATCCATCCGTCCTCTCTCTCGCTGTCTCAACTCCGTCTCTAGCACTCAGCAATGATAAACAAATGACTCCATCCGCATCAAACACAGATACACAACGTATAATAAGGCGCAATGTGTGTAATAACGTCCGCATTACCGCCGTGCCGTGCCCAGTGAAAACGAAACGGCATTGTTTACTAAGATCACCAACATCACAAAAGGAATCTTCTTCTTCCTCGTTGATCACGTTGCGCACTTTTTTTTCCTTTCCCGTTCTCCAAGTTAGCTTACATCTCCGACGTCGTGATCGAATCGACGAGAGGGACGAAGCAACGCTTCACCGACGAAACCCCTTCCAACGTCGCTCTGAAGCTGAGCTCTCTCCGTATGGGAAAACCAGGCGAAGCGGTGAAAAAAACAAATAAGAAAGAAGTGGAATTCATTCTTTAAGAAGAGCGAAAAAAAAAAAAAGCGTATCCTTCGAGCCCAGATTTCACGCCCGCCGGCTCGCTCATCTGGTCTCGTCCGTTCGCCGAGCAGAGAAGAATCTCTTTTTCCCGAAAATTCATTTCCTCTTTGTCGTGAAGCGAATCGAGAGGCAGCGGAGGGTAAAAAAAAAAGGGGGGGGGGGGGGGGTAGAACGCCTTCTAGCAACGGAGGTTCGAATCAGAGACGATGAAGGGTAAGTAAAGTTGTGCCTCTAAGGAGGCCTAGAAGACGACGAAAACACAGATTACAAGAAAAATACGAGTCGGTACCGTCCGATCCCCGCCTACATTCCTCCAGAGCGGATCCGGCAAAGAATGCGACGAGATGAGACGCGAGGGGAAAGGCAATGTGTCAGGGTGTCGTCGCACTGCGGGTACATCGCGCACACAATTAAAGTATTTGCGAGAAAAGACACTTGCAAACCTCGTTTTAGAAAAAAAAATACTTCTCTGGTTCGAAGCGTGAGGCAAGATAAGAGGACAACACCCTAAGTCTAAGTGTTGCGTTGCCTGGTAATTACAATTACTTGTGAACATATATAGCGGAAATAACATGTAGCACTGCTCCAAAACGCGGTTCTTGATGTTCTAAAAGCCAATACCGATGCTACGACCTGCAATGCTGCCCTTTTAGTGTAAAGTTTTGAGCATCTTACGACGTTTACAGTTTTTTGCCGCTGCTTAAGTGGCCCCAGAATGAATCTGGTGCGAGCGCATTTGTTTGGTTGAACATGAATCTCTCAGGTACGCGACCGCTCAGTCGATATAACCGGTGGCCCCGCCGCGGTGGGCCAGGGGCTAAGGTACTCGGCTGCTGACCCGCAGGTCACGGGATCGAATCCCGGCTGCGGCGGCTGTGTTTCCGATGGAGGGGCAAATGTTGTAGGCCCGTGCGCTCCGAATTGGTTGCACGTTAAAGAACCTCAGGTGGTCGAAATTTACGGAGCCCTATACTACGGCGTCTCTTCTAATCATATGGTGGTTTTTGGACGTTAAAACCCACATATCAATCGATATAAGTGACACTGCTTCTCGCAGTGAGATGCTGACATCGAACAAGAACGCCAGGCAACCGGGCATCAAAGCCTGGTTTTGTTGGTTCGATTCCAGTGCAGATTCAATGCAAACACGCTCATTTGAGCTTGCTCACACAATTATTTGGAACACCAGACCGGCGGCCGCTCACCGGTGTAGAGAACAGATGGAAAAGACAGTGCGATTGTCTCCGCGCGTGTGGTATCCCCTAACAAGAAAGTCTCGCTCACTACAGTGCATCTAAAACCGCTTTGCATTACCACAAAAGGCTAGCGTTAAATTCTGCCTTTCGTTGAGCACTTCGTCGACGTAAATCACAGCTGCTAGCTACAAATACACTGATCCAATCAGAATAAGTACAGCAAGATTGTCATAGCTTTGCCGCAAATGTGAAGTAATGTGGAGCTATATAAACAGCTGCGAGTGCGCTGAGGGTAGCTTGTGGTCATATTTCACATGACACGAATGTCAAGATAATTATCTTTGGCCGTGTCATTTACCGTCGTCGTCCGTTCAGGTCTCGTAATACCAAATTTGGTATATGTGAAGCTAACGAAAGTGCCGCGAGCACATATCAGCGTGACACGTAGTCTTGTTCTTACATGACACGCATTTCATGATTATCATGTTTGCACCAGTCATATACCATCGTCATTCATTCACGTCCCGTAATATTAAATTTGGTATATGCGAAACTAGAGAAACGTTCGTGAGCGCACCTTGAGCGTGGCGTGTAGTCATGAGTCTCATGACTTACATGACACTCATGTCATCATTTCCAGATACGGTCTGTCACTTATGTTAGCCATGTAGTCATGTCATACCATACCAGTTTTGTATTGTCATGTGACCTAAACCACCGCAAGAGCAGCAAGACCATGAAATAACCTAAATCATGACATAAATGTAATGATTTTCTTTTTATGACTAGTCTGTTATG